CAGAAACTCTCTGCTCTGAAATTTGACAATGTGAAGGAAATGGATCAATATTTGGAATCACACCCTCTCCCTAGACTTAGCCAGGAAGAAACAGAGCTCCTGAACAGGCCAATTTCAAGCACTGAGATTAAAGAAACAATAAAAAAATCTTCCAACAAAAAAATGTCCTGGTCCAGATGGCTTCATATCAGAATTCTATCAAACCTTCAAGGAAGAGCTTATTCTGGTACTCCAGAAATTATTCCAAAAAAATTGAGGAGGAAGGAATCTTCCCCAACACATTCTATGAAGCAAACATCACCCTGATACCAAAACCAGAAAAAGACCCAACTAAAAAGGAGAATTTCAGACCAATTTCACTATTGAATATAGATGCAAAAATTCTCAACAAAATCCTTGCCAATAGATTATAGCTTATCATCAAAAAAATCTTACATCACGATCAAGTAGGTTTCATCCCAGGGATGCAAAGCTGGTCTAATGTACACAAGTCTATAAACATTATTCACTGTATCAACAGAAGTAAAACCAAAGACTATATGATCCTCTCAATAGATGCAGAAAAAGCATTCGATAAAATCCAGCATCCTTTTCTAATTAGATCACTGAAGAGTATAGGCATATGTGGCACATTTCTGAAACCGATCGAAGCTATCTATGACAAACCCACAGCTAATATTTTACTGAATAGAGTAAAACTGAAAGCTTTTCCTCTCCGAACTGGAACCAGACAAGGTTGTCCTGTCCTCTGTCACCATTACTATTCAACATAGTGCTGGAAGTTCTAGCCAATACAATTAGGCAAGACAAGGAAATAAAGGGCATTCAAATGGGAGCAGAGGAGGTCAAACTCTCCCTTTTTGCTGATGATGTGATCTTATACTTAGAGAACCCCAAAGACTTAACCACAAGACTCCTGGAAGTCATCAAAAAATACAGAATATAAAATCAATGTCCCAAGTCAGCAGCCTTTGTATATGGCAATAACAGTCAAGATGAGAGACTAATTAAGGACACAACTCCCTTCACCATAGCTTCAAAGAAAATGAAATACCTAGGAATATACCTAACAAAGAAGGTGAAGGACCTCTATAAAGAAAATTATAAAATCCTAAGAAAGGAAATAGCAGAGAATATTAACAAATGGAAGAACATACATGCTCGTGGCTGGGAAGAATCAACATTGTTAAAATGTCTATACTTCCCAAAACAATCTACAGATTCAACGTCATCCCTATTAAAATACCAATATGGCACTTTCAAGATTTGGAAAAAATGATTCTGCACTTTGTATGGAACCAAAAAAAAACCCATATAGCTAAGGCAGTTCTTAGTAATAAAAACAAATCTGGGGGCATCACCATAACCAGATTTTAGGCTGTACTACAAAGCCATAGTGGTCAAGACAGCATGGTACTGGCACAAAAATGGAGACATAGACATTTGGAATCAAACAGAAAACCAGGAAATGAAACCAACATCTTACAACCACCTAATCTTAGATAAACCAAACAAGAACATACCTTGGAAGAAAGACTCCCTATTCAATAAATGGTACTGGGAGAACAGGATATCTACATGTCAAAGACTGAAACTAGACCCACACCTTTCCCCACTCACAAAAATTGATAAAGGACTTAAATTTAAGGCATGAAACAATAAAAATCCTCAAAGAAAGTATAGGAAAATACTAGAAGATATTGGCCTGGGGAAAGACATCATGAAGAAGAATGCCATGACAATTGCAACATCAACAAAAATAAACAAATGAAACTTAATTAAACGGAAAAGCTTCTGTACAGCTAAGGAGACAACAACCAAAGCAAATACACAACCTACACAATG